TCTCTCTCTCTCTCTCTCTCTCTCTCTCTCTCTCTCTCTCTCTCTCTCTCACCGTTCTATCTCTCACGTTCTCTCGATCTCTCACCGTTCTCTCTCTCACATTTTCTTTTATCTCCCTTTAATATATTATATAATTTCCCTTTAATACCCCTGTTTTATTTTTGAACGACATTTATTTCCTTAACTACGTGATATGAGATTTGCTGATACGTGATTCTAAAATCACGGAATAAATTTACGTGAGATCATTGGCCGTTCTATCAAATCGTGTCTATCAAATTGTGTACAATTTTTTTTTGAAGATTTATCTAGCGTTCCATCGTTTTAATCGCCTTTGAAGATTTCTTCACCGTCAAGCGGGTATGAATGCGTCTTTTTTCGCTTTTACTTTCGCTGTATGTACAGGATTGTCGTGTACGGTGGTTAGACATTTTTAAGAGTTGTGTTGATACTTGATTCTATTAAGTAGAACGTTTTTTTAACAAAATTACGTCGTCATATATACATCGTTATTTTTGGCGGATGATGTTTGTTTGGAAGAGGATTGACAGAGTTAGAAGAGGATGGTTCACGCAGATCGGACCAGAGTTGTTTTATATGAGCTTCGTAGTTGGTTTATGCAATAATCGGAATAATTGTCCGCTGTGGTCGAGTTCATGTTTTTAATCCCGATCGATAGTTGGTTTATTTGTTTATAACAGCCGATTTAAGTGTGCTGGGTAGTACATTAAAATATAGTTCGTAGTCTTTTTTAATTTAGCGTATGGATTTTGCATTTTAAGTTTATTTTTGATGATATTAATGTATTATCATTCAAATGTGTTTGCAGTCTATTTAATCATTTTTTAGTATTCTGCATTTTTTATTTTGTTTCATGATTTTAGGTTTTTTCGATGGCGAATTTCGTACGGATTTGTTGAGGTTTGGTGGGTTGGTTGCTATAAAGAGGTGTTTACGATGTAATGGCTCGGTAACTTCGGTTAAGTGTTAAACCGTTGTAATACAGTAGTATACTATTACGAATACCGTATGATACTACCATTATCATTTTATTATACTATTATGAGATTATTAATGTACTAGAGTTTTTTAACTCGACATATTGGTTTGATTGTGTTATGATGTGTTTCATGTATTTTATCAAAACCCTAGATTGAAATTATGAGATTATTAATGTACTATTTTATTGGTTATGTTGGAATACTTTACGTTGGTCTTGTTCTCAATGTTCTTGTCATTTCAGTGGTATATTGTTTGTAACACAATTTCATATCACTACTATAACCGTAATATACTATCATAGCAGATTAATGTACTATATTGAAATTATTAATATACTTGAATAATACGGGATCCATAGTCGATTAACGAGATCCATAGTCGAATTAGATCAATAAGATAGTCTATTACATGATATAAGGAAAATTACCCTAATTGATTAGTATTTCAAACAAACATATTATTCAGTTTCCATATATATTATTATTTTTTCATATATATTATTATTTACCCTAATCGTTTTCATATAATAAGGAATTACCCTAATTGATTAGTATTTCAAACAAACATATTATTCAGTTTCCATATATATTATTATTTTTCCAATAGTCAATTAACTAAACCCATAGTCGAATTAGATACATGGGATAGTCTATTAAAAGATATGAGATAGTCTATTAATTGTAAAACACAAATCCGCCGCCGTCACTTCTCAAATCTAGGGTTTTGATGATTCTTCGGCCCATAGTCGATTAACGAGATCCATAGTAAAATTATACTCGTGGGATAGTCTATTAAATGATATGGGATAGTATATTAATACAGATGTAATTCGACTATGCATCTCATTAATCAACTATGGACCAAAGAATTATCAAAACCCTAGATTTGAGTAATCCTAGATTTGAGTAACCCTAGATTGGAGCAGTGACAGCGACGGCGACGGCGGCCAACGACGATATCACTTCTGGTGGATGTCCTGCCCATCAATTGTTGCAATATCACTGATTTAGTGCTCGAATTCGGTATGTGATTATAACAGATCTGCAATTACACAAACGTGATAGTCGATTTAGCCAAAACATATCAATAAATCGATGGATGATAGCGATTCAGCGAGTGACGACGACGTACCTACGGAGGCTTGGTTGGAGTGCAGAAAAATCGCCGATCCACGGCCGTGCAAATTTCTGGTTTTGGGAGGTTTTGCAGTTTTTTTGATAGTGGGTTTGTGGTGATAGTATTTTAACGGGAAAATAGGGAGAGATTTGATATTATTTCAAAAGGTAAAGTAACGAGATTTGTGGGATTTGATTGAGGGTAATTATGTAATTTAGTAAGGTTTGGATTTTTATCAAAATGACAAATTTAAGTTTGAGTCTATCCCTATTATTTGAATGTTTAAAGGGTTATATCTAATAGACCCATATAATAATGCCTGTCAGCTCTCTATATATGTTCGTATATAATTGACATCAAATCACGTCATAGGTTCAAATCATTTATTTATCAATTTATATGGCGTTGAATCACGTAGAAGCATCTTGAAACCACCTAACCAATTAGAAATTTCCAATATTTATATTGAGTTGTTAAAAAACACATCATATTATTAATCGGGCAAACGACAAAAAACCCATCACATGGGATTTAAATGCATTGTGCTCCAAAAAAAAATAGTCTCTCAATTAAACTCATGCCTATGTCTTTAGTCTAAAATACCCTTCATAATATAATTCTTATCAATTCCACTCATTATGCTCTAAATTCCTTAATATTACACATTGACCCCGGATTTAAACAAATATATCACATTGACACCTAATTTTTTTTTCAGAAAATAATTTTTTTTCTGAAATGTTTTTTTTCCTGCCAAATTCCGGCGTTGACTTTTTTTTTTTTTTTTTGAAAACATTTTTTTTCCTGAAATTTTTTTCCGGCCGGTCAACCACTGCTTACCGCCGGTCTCCGATGTTGACTTTCGTTTTTTTTTTTTTTTTTCTTAAAAAAAATAAGGAGTCGCATTGGGAGTGCGTGAATGACACAAACGAGGTAGAAGGGGGTGTATGGCTTTGACTACTAATAGAGTGGGGTTTTAGTCACTTAATTTGACCCAGGGGGTTTTTTGGCCATTAGGAAAATGATAGGGGTGTTTTTGCATTTAACTCTATAATATTCAGTGGGAAGGATTAATGTAGAGTGTGGGAAGCAAGAAGAGGTGATTCTTCCTAGACACAGTAATCCCTTCTTGCTCAGTCAAATCAACATCTGGGAAACTGATCCCGGGAGGCAAAGACCAGTCAAAATGGTAGAGGATTTGAGCCAATGAGAGCTCGACACTTGCCAAGCCAAAGTTCACACCAGGGCAAATCCTTCTCCCCGCACCAAATGGAAGGTACTCGAAGCTACTCCCCAGGAAATCGATGCAGCTGTTTTCGAATCTCTCGGGTTGGAATGTTTCCGGGTCCATACCCATGGCCCATACGCTGATCATGACCCTGGAATTCAAAGGGATTGAATACCCGTTGACTTTGACTCCTTCTTACTCTGCATGCTCTTGGTAGCAACGGGATCGGAGGGTGTAGCCGGAGAGTTTCTTTCACCACCAGTTTCAGGTATTTCAGCCCCTTTACGTCGATATCCTTCTCCTTACCCTTTAAACATTCTCTTACTTCTCTCTGTACCTTCTCCATTACCCTAGGGTTTCTCATCAGCTCCGCCATTGCCCAATCTATAGCCGACGACGATGTTTCTTTTCCCGCCGAAAACATATCCTGCATGCATCTATGTACATATATTACTTGTAACATGATTTAAGTGTACAATATATTACTTCTTCTCGATACGTGTACTTGCGTGTAAGTATTTTCACCAACAACTATATATCAAAGTAGAGAGGTCCAGGATTTGAATCTCGCCTGCCCCTCAAATCCCCTACTTCCTCAATTTGTTACAGGATTTAATTATACTACTTGTCCGATACGTGTACTTGCGTGCAAGTATTTCCACCAACAACTAGAGTAAACAGCAAAAAATGTATACTTAGTGCAATCTCCAAATAGCAAAAGAAAACTATCTTATTCTCTCTCTCTCTCTCTATATATATATATATATATATATATATATATATATATATATATATATATATATATATATATATATCTTAATTAGGTAATCTATTTTTATTATCAGATAATTTATGTATATATTTTAAATTATTCCTACATCAAAGGAAAACTCAAATTCCATTATTATGTATTTCTTAATTTTGTATCCCGAAGTTGTCGTGGCTTTTGCTATTTGGAATTAAACAGAGGTACATTTTGCAGTTTACTCATTTATCAGAGTAGAGAGGTGCAGGATTGAAATCTGGCATGCCCCTCCGATCCCCCTACTTGCTCAACTTGTAACATGATCTGAATTTAAAAAAGAAAAAAGACAAAACAAAAAATGAGTAAAGGAAAAAAAGAAATACTTACAAAGATGACAGCTTTGATGTTGTCGTTAGCGATGGGAAACTGGAGCTCCCCATTTGTCTGCACCCTGATAAGAACATCAACAATGTCTTGATTGATTTGATGAGAATTGACACCTCATCCTGCCTGATGGAGCCGAACGATTTCACGTTTTTCGCGCTGAGGAGTTCTACGACGCAGATCCTTCGCATCTGCCTCCGGTACTCGTTGTACGGACTGAAAGCTAGGTCTGTGTAATCGTACCACATTTTCGATAAACAAAACTCACTTAAATATTCTATTAAAGTTGGGTTTACCCCCAAATTTTCCAACAACACTTGGATAGAAGAATATGAGAGAATGACTTCAAACCTATAATCATAAATTCATTGATCTTGTTTGGAATTATTTATATACGATGATAAGTTGAAAAACCTTAACTCGTGTAAATTTTAAAATTGCGGTTATATAATTGACTAAAAAATATATTATTTAAGAGTTATTTGAAGCAACAAATTATATAAACAATTAAGACGAGATACAGAGAAGTTCAACGCACGTACACCTTGTTCACGAAGTGAAATAGAAAATACAGAAAAGAAAAGACTGGCAGATTTAAATGAACTTTTAGTTGGAAGGATTGTAGAGTGTGGGAACCAAGAAGAGACGATTCTTTCTAGAGACAGTAATCCCTTCTTGCTCTGTCATATCTACATGGTCGAAACTGATCCCTGTGGGCAAAGTCCAGTTAAAATGGTAGAGAATTTGAGCCAATGGGAGCTCGACACTTGCCAATCCAAAGTTCATACCAGGGCAAATCCTTCTCCCCGCCCCAAACGGAAGGTACTCGAAGCTATTCCCCGTGAAATCGATGCAGCTGTTTTCGAATCTCTCAGGTTGGAATGTTTCCGGGTCGTCCCAATAAAGCGGGTCCCTACCCATGGCCCATATGCTGATCATGACCCTGGAATTGATAGGGATTGAATACCCGTTGACTTTGACTCCTTCTTCTCTGCATGCTCTTGGTAGCAACGGGATCGGAGGGTGTAGCCGGAGAGTTTCTTTCACAACTAGTTTCAGGTATTTCAGCCCCTCTACGTCACTATCATCCACCCTCTTCTTCCCCTTCAAACCCTCTCTTACTTCTCTCTGTACCTTCTCCATCACCCTAGGGTTTCTCATCAGCTCCGCCATTGCCCAATCTATTGCCGACGACGATGATTCAGTTCCCGCCGAAAACATATCCTGCATATTCATTATTTATCAACGAATTGGTACCTAGCCTCTATTATTAATTAATAGACTATTAGAGTACTAGCTAGAGATGAGGTCCAGGATTCGAATATGGCCCGCCTCTCCCCTACTTACTCAATTTGTAACAGGATTTAATTACCCGCTATACACTTGTCCATACGTGCACTTGCGAGTAGGTATTTCCAGCAACAAAACTATCAGAATTTGAATTTCACAAAAAAAAACAAAAAAAAGAAAAAAGATTTATATTACTTACAAAGATGACAGCTTTGATATTGTCGTTAGTGATGGGAAACTGGAGTTCCCCATTTCTCTGCACCCTGATAAGAACATCAACTATGTCTTCACCGCCGAACTCACCGCTCTTGTTCAACCTATGCTCCTCCAAGAGGGCGTCAAGAACTAAATCCACCTTGCGTCGCATCCTCCACAACTTGTTATTGCTCCAACTGAGAATATTCAGAAGCTTCCAAGAAGGGAAAAGATCCACCAGCTGAAACCCTCCGGCCATGGAAAGACCCTCCTTCATCAAGTACACCAACGAGTCACGGTCCTTGAGCACCTCACCGAACACCGCCCTGCAAGTGATCGAACTTATCATCCCGAACACCTTCTCCGTCAGATTTATGGGCTCCCCGCCGCACAATTTCTTGATTGATTTGATGAGAATTGACACCTCATCCTGCCTGATGGAGCCGAACGATTTCACGTTTTTCGCGCTGAGGAGTTCTACGACGCAGATCCTTCGCATCTGCCTCCAGTACTCGTTGTACGGACTGAAAGCCAGGTCTGTGTAATCGTACCACATTATCTTAAGGGCGATGCTTTCCGGTCTGCCCGCGCACCCCGGGTCCTGATCTTTCAGCACCTGTTTCGCTGCCTCCGCCGATGAGATCAACACCGTCGACACTTGCCCGAGCTTCAGATGTAACACCGGTCCGTACTTTTCGGCTACTCGACGGAGCGCGTGGTGGGCCAGCCCCCTGCCCACTATGTGGTGGAGGTGGCCGATCACCGGCAGCTCCGGCGGGCTCGGCGGCAGTTTCTCATTTTTCGTTGGGGTATTCGGTTTCTTCAGTGCTTTCATTACTAAGAATATCAAAGATGGAAATATGAGGAGACTGATCAAGTTGAAGGGTATTATTAATTGGATCTCCATCGCTAATTACTATTGTGTTTGATGAAATTGCTGAACCAATCTGCTGCATGTATTTATAGTACTGCAACAAGGAGAAGAATACTATGCTATTATAATTATGGGTAAATTACAACCACCGCTAATGTTGTAATTATTTTTATACAAAACGAGTACAAACTAGAGCACGTTCCACGAAATCTAGATGATTATGTTGAATTTGACACTATAAGGATGGAGGTGTAAGAAAAAAATCGTAGTTGAGGAGTATATATAATTATCCAAACAAACAGGGTTTTTTCATGATTTAACCGTACCATAAAGGAGTGGTTGTAATGTATTTTTTTGGATTTTTGCTTATTGATTCCAATTGTATATAATAATTATAATGTTTATATATTTTTTTGTAAAATAAAGTTGAGTTTGCATTTTTGTAGTTGTGATTTGTTATTTTTAGTAGTCGATCGGTTCCTTAATCGACTATGATTCATTATAGTCGATTAATATACATGATAGAGAAAAAAAGTTAGAAAATGGATAAAAAATTTAAAAAATTGAAAAACAATTAAAAAAATAAAATAAATAATAATAATAATAATAATAATAATAATAATAATAATAATAATAATAATAATAATAATAATAATAATAATAATAATAATAAAGTAATAATAAGAATTAAAAAAAAAAACACGGCTCATGGATCATGGACGGATAGTGCATGTAAGGTGGCAGGGACATAATTGAAAAAATGGGTGGCTAAAATTATAAGTGAGTGTTTCTCAAATGGTACAAAATATTTTGGATCTCTCTATTAAAAGAAGTATTGAGGGGTTATATGAAAGAGACGCTTAATAAAATTATAGAATAAAACAAATGAATCAATAATTTGGCAGAACTATTAGCTGGCGGGATATTAATTATATATCTTTAGACCTCGTCTCGTTTCCTAAGATGATAATACTAACCATAATATTATACATATATATTCTCGCCATTGTCCAACAATATTTCTAATTAATGGTTAACTTCTTCCTAACACGTACTGTGCCATATCTATTATTCGTAGGGGCAAAATCATGATCAAATTTTTTTTGGAGGTTTGTGCTATCGCCCCATATTATTTTTTTAGAGGCATTGGTAAAAGAAATTCAAAAATAAGTAAATATCCCTAAATTTTATTTAAAATAAGATACCTTCTAAATATTTTATTCTATATTTATGAAATATGATATAAATATCTATAATTTATATATATAATTTATATAAGATTATGGAGAAGAGAGAAAAAAAAAAGAAAATAGAAAATTAACGATCACAAATTCACAACACACATTTACAAAAACTTTAAGAAGCAAAAGTAATATTAAAAAATAACATGGAAAAATATCTTTTTTTTTTTCTTTTTAAATCTGCCACCACCGAACGGTGATTAGCCGATAACAGGCATCTTGAACTAGTGAGCGTTATAGTTTATTATTCATGTGTTATGCATGTAATAAACATTAATATTTAACCAATAATTTTGCAGTTATTGTCCTCTCAACAAAAAGCTTAAGTTAGTTAAGTGCAAACGAATTATAATTAAGGTATTTTATAAATAAATGGGTTAATATTTGAGACACCCTTCAAACCAAACATAATTAGATGTGAGACACAACCTCAAATAAAATGTTTTAACTAAATCCTTATTTGAAAATCTAATTTGACCAACATCTTTTTATTTTATTTAACCTAAAAATACCCTTGATATACCTAATAAAAAATCACGTAGCTCTATATCTTCCCTCTCCTTTTGCTCTCTTTTCCCCACTCTCTTTTTATCCGCCGCCTACTCTGGCTCTCTCTCTTCTTCAACCGCCCCACCCCTTTCTCTCTCTTTCTCTCTTTCACATGGAAAGGATATATTAGATCTGGGATTGACGGCGGCGGCGGCGGGTTTTGCTGTCGAGAATGACGGGCGGCAGGAGGATGAGGCGACGAGTGGAGAAGAAAAGACCCGCTTCATTGTCGGATGAATCTGATGCGATGATGTTGGAGAGTGAATTTGTGTGCGGTCGAGATTTACAACAGAACTACCGCCATGGACATGATGAAACCAAGCCTCTACCGTTGTTCTTTCAATAAGAGTTATTTATTTATTTATTTTTTATTTTTTTTATCTACCACTAATTTAGAGAGCTTGATATATTTACAATGGGGTGGTTATGGCGATATGGGAGGCAATGGTTTTTGGTGTGAGGGCGATGATGGCAGATCTAGGTTACGTAATGAGGAGAAAGATGACGAAAGGTTCGAGGATTATGGGATTTTGGAGATCCGTTTTCATAGGTGGAGTTCGTGGCGGATCTAGGTTTTCCAAAAGGGGGTAGGTGACAACGGTTGCGGCGGCTGCGGCTGCGACTGTTGGCTGCTAGGATTTTGGGCGGCTGCGTTTACTGCTAGGGTTGGCAACGACTGAGAGTTGTTCGCGGCTAGGGTTCGGAATAGTATACCATAGTAAACCATAGTATACCATAGTATACCATAGTACACCGTAGTATACCATAGTGCACCATAGTATACCATAATCTATTATAGATTGCTATAGTGTATATAAACTGACAAATGATGTACGCCGTGAAGTTCAAGTTTTAGAAGCCTACAAGCGACGAAAAGGACTACGATAAATAGATGACTACACTACCGATAGAAGATAAACTAAAAATTACAAAAAAAAAAATGAAAAACATGTAAATTGAATTATTAAAAAAATGAAAAAATAATATATTTTTTTTGTAATTTTCAATATTATTATGTATAAAAAAAAAGGAAAAAAACAACGAAGTTTTTTTTTTTTTATAATAGTCTATAAAATACTAAAAAAAAGAAAGAAAAAAAAAAGACAATTGAGTATTCTATAAAAAATAAAAAAAATGTCACACGAAAAAAAAAAAATATTAATTGTAGAATAAGAAAATGATTAATGCAGTTTATTTACTTAATGAAGATTTTGGATTTGTTAGTGAAGGGGCATTTTTGGAATGAATATTATAAAGGATGTGAAGCAAATGTTTAGTTGAGCTTGTCATTTAGTTCTAATAAGTTTTGTCACCAAAGACTTATATCTCAAGGCCCCTTTATAAATAGAACACTTTACAAATAAACTCACCAATAGGTACTTATTGATAAAAAAGTCTAGATAATATACTCTTTTACAAAAAAGTCAACACATGGTCCATATGTTTTCGTAAAGACTAAAATAGCCTCTCATATTTTAATATGCTCCAATTTCATCATTTAATTTAATCTGACCTTAATTTGACTCCTAATTTCACAAATTATTCAATTTTGACCCAAAACACATTTTTATGGACAATTTCGTCCGTCACCGTCGTTGACCGCCGGGCAGTCTCCGATGTTGACTTTTTTTTTTTTCTTCCTGATTTTTCCACCGGTTTCCGGCGGTCAACGCCAGCCTCCGACGTTGACTTTTGTTTTTCCTTCCTGATTTTTCCGCCACCGGTTTCCGGCGGTCAACGCCGGTCTCCGACGTTGACTTTTTTTATATTTTTTTTCTTTAATATCTTTTTGCCCTCGTTTAAACAACAATATGGATGTGATTGACCGTAATATTAACCATTAACCACTTTACTGTTAAACACAGTAAAATTAACTATACTACAATTTAACACAGTAATATTAACACAACAAAACTCATTATTATTGTATAATAGAGTAATATTAATATCTTGACCGTTCAACAAAGGTAAACATAATAAAAATAAAAAAGAATTAATATTACTGTGAGTGACAGTAATATTTCTATAACAACAGTAATATTACTGTCTCAGACAGTAATTTAGCAGCCAAGACAGTAATATTACTGTCTCAGACAGTAATTTAGCAGTCAAGACAGTAATATTAATTAAAATATTTTTTTTCTACGAAAAAAAAAATTCAAAAAAAAAGAAAGAAAAAAGTCAACGCCGGAGACCGACGCTCAACAGTGGTTGACCGGCCGGAAAAAAATTTTAGAAAAAAAAAATATTTCGTAAAAAAAAACAAAAAAGTCAACGTCGGAGACCGGCGATCAACGCCGCAATCTGGCCAGAAAAAAAAATTCAGAAAAAAAATTATTTTCGGAAAAAAAAAATTCAAAAAATTATTAAAATGCGGGCTAATGTGATATATTTATTTAAATGCGGGGTCAATGTGTAATATTAAGAAAGTTAGAGCATAATGTATGGAATTGATAAGAATTATATTATGGAGGGTATTTTAGACTAAGAACATGGTCATGGGTTTATTTGAAAGATTGTTTTTTTTTTTTTTTGTGGACCAATGTGCATTTACGTCCCTTGTCATGGGCTTATTTGCCATTCGCCCTAAAAACAAAAGGAACTTGGTACTAGTTGAGGTTTGGTGGTTGAACTTCTCAAGGAGCAAAACATTATATTAAAAAAAACTGATTGAAAACTGTACAACATAAAAATATAGGGGTCATTACAAATAAGCTCATCAATGGGTACTTATTCATAAATAGATCCACACAAAAAACTCATTTACTAATAAGTCCACACATGATCCAGATTTTTGTAAAAGACTAAAATAGTCTCTCGTACTTTAATATGCTCCAATATCATCTTTAACTTAATTTAACCTCAGTTTGACCCCAAATTTCACAAATTATTCAATTTTGATCCAAAACTTTTTTTTTTCAAAAAAACAAATTTTGCCGCCGGATTCCGGCGTTGACTTTTCAATTTTTTTCCTTCCGGATTTTTTCGCTGATTTCCAACGTTGACTTTTTCGATTTTTTTTTCTCTTCCGGATTTTTTCGCTGGTTTCCGGCGTTGACTTTTTCGATTTTTTTTTTCTTTCCGTAACATTTTTTTCGTTTAAACAACAATATTGCTGTCAGGGGCGAGTCCACCCAAGGGCTAGGGTGGACTCAAGCCCCCCCTCACTTCCAAAATTTGTTCCATTATATATATATATATATATATATATATATATATATATATATATATATATATATATAT